ACACAGTTAGATTGTGTACTCTGTGTGTGTTGTCCATAGAAGTTCACTTTCGTTCCCTCCAATTAGACTCAATCCCTCTCCATCTTGTGCTTTATCACTTGATTTGTATACATTGTGAGCTTGGAAGCGATCAGTGAAGTTCGCTTCACTGTATCTCGCTGTTCGATGGTGATGACGATGAGGCACGAGAGCTTCACCGGATTTGAACGTTCTTTTTTGTTTTGTTTTCTCGCATCAGATGGAAAACGCTCGTCCGCCGCTACAAAAGCCGACGATTCAGAAGGAGAGTGGGAAGAGGTGGAATGCAGTGAATCCGCGTGCGAGGAATGCCAAGCAGCTTCCGCGACTGCGACCGCCTCCGCCGCTGGTCCCGTCCCCGCGGCCACCACTGGCCCTATGACAAACGCACCGACCGCATCTCGATGTCATCCCAGTGAGTCTCTCCCATCACAAGTAACCGGTTATCCACCCCCGAAGCCGTTCGATTGCATCAACCCGTCCCCAATGATTGGTGGACACACAAACGCAGCCTATATGCCTTCAATGCGTTCCAGCGGCGCGGATGCGAATATGTCTAACACGTCAATCGCATACCAGCAACAATCCACCGCCTCCTCATCGTTGGGATCATCAAAAAATTCCCGAATAGGTACACCGGCCCCGCTCGGGCCAAACCAACAAGGTCCGTTCCACGGGGGCACTCAGTCACCACATGGTAGCGCACTGGGTGTGAGTGGCATGAAATCGGGTGTCACAAATCGAGCGGCTTCGTCGTCCTCCTGTTCCTCATCATCCGTAGCTGGTCACAATCAAGCTTTCACAAGACCGATGGTGCCTTCCACGAAATCAGGTACGCGTCCGATTTTAATAACAAGTGTTGGCAACTTCCCACTGGTTGTTCGTTTCCTTCACCATGTGACCACTTGATTTTTTCCGAAACAGATCCACCCGTCCAAGCGTTCTTTTTGACTCTGGTGCCGAGGCTAAAAGATTCCTAGCTTCGGGAGTTGTCCAAGTTAGTTTTCGTGTATTCATCGGAAATGGATTTATGAACATGTAAAATGTAAAGCATCTTTTTGTTGATTATCTGAGCTGATGAGCGCGCGCGCGAGAGAGAGAGAGAGAATCCATGCTTTTCAGACGATTACTTTGGGAACACAAAATGCAGCCTAACATTTCTTGTAAGAACCGCAATTGATCACATGTCGTTTTGGTTTTGAAAACGTTAGCCACAACTTTAGTAGAGCTTTCTTCTTGAATGCTTTGCTCGAGAAATCCTCATCACGTAAAACAAAAGCCAACTTCCGTCTGTTTCCGTGTAGAATGATCGTCATTATAGTGTTTTACTTGTCGAGTTCATTCCCCGAATTACAGTGGACTTACCCCCCCCCCTATTATTTACTGCAACCTTTCGCAGGTCCAGATGACTTTCCCAATCAGCATAGTGAGCCAGAAGTGGATGCACATCTGCACCATGTTCCCGTCTCACGGTTAGGGGCCCCCTTCTACTCGGGCATGACTCCCGGACCAACCGGTCTGGTCCTCGGCTCAATGCAAATGGCCAATCCCCCGGGGATGAATATGATGAATCCGGTCCCCACGACCTCGTACAACATGATCCCGAATCCGTCTCATTTTTTACCACCACCACCCCAACAACAACCACCACCACCACCACCTATTCATCCAGGAACGGGTATGATGCACAACACACAACAGGTCCGCCGTGACCCTTATCCGAATCGTTTCACCGGTTCCGTATTCCCGGATAATACAGCCGCGGTGAACCAAATGGCACGCCAACCGGTTAGGCCAATCCCATCTGGACCCGGATCAACAGCCTACCCCGGTGAGTGAATGTTTCCGGTCCTGATAGACAATTGTCTTGAGCTTCCCTTACCCGAGTAAATCATAGATAGATTTGAATAGCATTGCCGTAATCGGTCAAAACGATTGTGGAACAACAGTTAGTCTCGATGTTTGCTTGCCATCGAAACCGCCAACAGACTCTAGAAAACGTAGCATATCCAGTAAATAGAACACCGGAACTGGGGATAAACTTGCGTTCTTGACTTCGAAGTAATTTTAGTTTATTTCCTATTGTTCAGAGATCAATTTACTGGTCAAAAACAACCCCGCTGGATGAACGAAGGAGCGAGGTACCTGGGGCTCATTCTCGACGGTGGGAGAAGTTGTCGCACTCCAGTGGACAGCTACCGCCCCCAGCTATTAAGGTGCTGCCCCGTCCACGCTCCACCTGTCTCATTGGGTGTATGAGGCTAAGGGCCGATCCCGAACACCGGACCAGTGAACAACATGCTGAACCGGAACCCAAAGATCTCGCGTGACAAGCCTCTAGAAGCTCCCACTTAGGTGCTGCGGTTAAGCTCCCGCGTTGGATCTGCGCCCCATTGCCTTGTGGGTCAGACTATTGAGTCAAAGGCTCCGGTTAGAGTTCCCAAAGAGAACCTCGTTCTTCGGTGTGGGCTACCGCGAAGTATGTCTTGCCTCGATCTTAGGTACCCATTTGGAAAACCTTCTTTCTCAGATGCTCACCTTCTCTTCTCACTCCCAAATCTCAGGAGATGAATCCGGTTAGCGTCACTCATGGAATATCACTCAGCGTTCAAATAATAAAGTCAACCAACCAGAATCTGTCCGACTTTTGAAATCAAAGTCTCCTTTCACTTAGCCGCATTTAATGTCCACACCCCATCGATCGGTCAACAAGCTGCCTTAGCTAGAAC